ATTATGATGATCACTTACTGAGTAGCCAAACTCATCAAACTATGGTAAACATTTTTTCAGGATAACTACGGATTCATTTTGAGTACTCGTCAAGGGCAACTTTGGAAGATATTGTAGTTGTGTCTTTGGAAGATATTGTAGTTGTGTCTAAGCTTTTTTTTTTGTTACTTTGTAAGAATTCGTCAGTGTAAATTTGTCCTATCAATAGATGTATATATGTTTTGTCCGTCACATCTCAGGAATAATAGTATTGTAAATTCTTGGGGTGTGACACATCCCCTTCACAGTTTTGGGCTCATTCTGCCACACATAGTCAGTAATGCTCCCCTGGACAGTCTCTTGGGCCTTCTATAAACTTCTTGCTGCTATCATATAAGTTTCTTTAACTCAAGTTCCATAGGACTTGAACCTTAACAAGACATCCCTTTATCCTTATTGCTTCGAAACAAGGAGGTTTAGAAGTAATGTGGGTTCTGTCAAAGATATTATGTGGTTTTGATGCTGATTTTGAGCTAAGCTAGTGGAATTTAAGGCGTTCTCTCATCATATTAGTGTTTTGAGATTCTAGAAGGAACAGGTAGAGGGGCTTGTGGCCTAGGTGGGACTAATGACATGTGCTTCAGAATTGCTTCTAACTAATGGAATGCCAATCAAGATTTTGAGGTATCATGTTTTAAGGTGAAATGGATTTACATCTAGAGATAGGCTGCTTAACAAGGTTGATACCACCTCTTAAAGTCTCATTAGGTTGAAGACAGGTGGTTGTTAGTTGCTACATGCAGCCTTAGGGTGGAGGGCGTGACCTGGGAGGAAACCCAGGTTTAGTTGCAACAGACTTGGGCAATAGCATGGAAAACCAAGTATAGGTTTATTCCCCATTCCACTTTAAAAGTTATTCTCTAGGTGTACCGAATCCTAAGCGATCTAGGTGAGAATGTGCATGCTGGTTGCAACTTGTATAAACTGAGAGCCGTCTCAAATGATGACTGAGTGGACCTTGTGCAAAATCTCTAATTTATTTATTACAATGTGGTTTAACCGTAAAAGCAACTCTATGTATGACAAATATGGCTATTGTGGTTTAAGGCTTTCTTGGAATTCAATGTCAATGCCAATTATATAAGAATCCGGGACAAGTATTGAGAATCAATCAAACGGGTCAATACATTCCGTATCGAAATCAATAGAAAGAAAGATCTGAATAAAAATAGAAGATCTTAATGAGGAGAATCCACCAAACCAAGTAGAATATACAATAACAGAATCCCAGTAAGGGACAGGCCTAGAATGTTGGACTTCCGCTCCCATGTGAGGGATCCTATAGTCTAGCTAGTGTGGTGTAGATAGAGACTGGGTCTGTTGGAGCTTTTTTGCTGATTTGGTGGAATCTTTTCTTTATTTGAAATCTAACAATTTTATTAAACTGGAAACTAGAAAGTTTCTTTTGGAAGTTAGGAACTGATCTTATAGTTTTATGGTGCAGCATTGTATTTCCTAGAACTTTATCAATAGTTTTATGGTCTTATCTTCATGCCCCCTTTTCTTGTTTAATTTTGTTTTCTGTATTATTCTAGTAAATATTAAATGTGTTCATCAAAAGTTAAGCCTTAGCACGTTATTGATATTCCTTTTGTACCACCCAATCATATAGGCTGTGCTTTCTTATCAAATCTTGCCAAGGATCACTTAGGAATGTTTTCTGTATTATTCTAGTAAATATTAAATGTGTTCATCAAAAGTTAAGCCTTAGCACCTTGTTGATATTCCTTTTGTACCGCCCAATCATATAGGCTGTGCTTTCTTATCAAATCTTGCCAAGGATCACTTAGGAATGGATTCCCTTGATAGCAAGTTAGTTTCTTCGTCTAAAATAACATTTTGCACAAGATTGCACAAGTTTTATGTTGTTTTGATGTTTTGGGAAGGGATTTATGGGACACAGGATGACTTTATCCTTCGAACATTGCCTCTCACTAATGCATGTTGGAGTTGGGATGGGATGGATGTAGTGCTTTTGTTTGCCTCAAATCCTCTACGCTGCTAATATCATATCTAGATTCATCTTCTCCATCATGATATCTTGGTTTACTTTGGAATAGCAATATTTTCACATCCTTTAGATTTGAGAAGTCTCCTAATATGTCAGTTTAACTTTGCCTAGCAAGTTTTCCATTAGAATATATTTTGTTTTACCTCTCACTTATTGAATGTGTACAGTTGACTACTAGAGAATTTATTTTCTCTATTGTTAAATGTTGCTTTGCCTTTCAATCAAGGATTAGGGTGACTGCTTGATCCAAGAATTTAGGTGCAAGGAGTTGATAGTCCAATGGTGGAGGAGAACTGATCTTGAGCGACCCTATCAATATAATGAAGACTTTAAAACTCTGAAAGTGATAGCCATGAGAAACCCAAGCGGAATAATTGATAGACCCTGAAATAGGTGGGTTTTCCAAATTTTCCAAGGGCATTCTTGTTAGCTGTCACAGTAGTCAAATCTTAGAGATATGAACTAATTACTTGGCTACCATTCTTTCCTCAGAACAAGGGCTCCCTTGGGATATCTGGGTATTCTGCAACGAACAATTAATCTCTGCTGCCCCCTTTTGTGTAAGATGATTCCTAGTTATTTCCATTCAACGGGAGGAATTAACCCCTTTTGAAAAAATACTGGGGAAGTACAATGGCTAATAGGTGACATGAAACAAATGAATTGATTGAAGGGAGAAGATGCAGCCCTTCTTTCCTCTAACAGAGTAAGAGTACATATTTGGAAAGACAAAAGTGTTTAGAGTTTCCTATCAACCACCAAATGGATTTAGACAAGAATTGTACCATAAACTATAGGGACTTCCATCTTATAACTAAAAGGGCATTGATTATCATTTTTCAGAAGAAGGAATGTCGCTGTAACGTCATTTCACTCATATTCTTAACAGTACAGAGCTCTGCTGTTTCTAGTACTGCTGCTAAGAGCATTGCTGGTTGCATTTGCAAAAGCCATGATTGTAGCTGTCCATGCATGTGGAGGGCTGGTGACACATTTTTTTAATTAGTAAGCAGGCTTTGTGTAGCTTATTTGCCTGAGTCATTTTTATTTTCTACAGTAAATTGAGTCTTGTACAACGAGAAACTCTTGGACCAATACCAATGATATAATGTATGAATAATGTTCAGCCTAACCAAAGGCAGCAAAATGGTCTACATGTTCTGCTGAAATTAGTACCTGTTCAACTGAAGTTCGGTTTTCTTTTTTTATATCATAGCTTGAACAAAGGAAGTCAGCAAGTCATATTAGCAAAGAGTCTTATTATGATTTAATGTTAGCTATTGTATCAGGATTGTTATTCTCCCCTAGTGTGGTAAAGTTTAGAAATTTGTCCCTTGATTTTGGTTTATCTTTCTTGGCTATATGATTTGAATTTTTTTGCTCGCTAATTATTTTTGCCACGTGTACTTTCACTTACAATACATTTTTTGGTTTTATATGCAGGAAATGCTTAAAAATCATACTTGAAATATAAATACTTTTCTTTGAAGAATCTACAGATGCTTATTGAACACGATCCTGAAATTATCTCTGTGGTTATTTAATAGGGCTGATGAATGGAATGTAAATAAATGGGCTTGGGAAGGTTCATTGAAAGTCATCAGCAAAGGGGAGGAATGTATAATTAGACTTGAAGACAAGAATACTGGTATAGCAATGTTCAGAGATTTATTAATGGACATAAGTTTTGTTTTGTGCTTCTTCCAAATGTTTTATATATATGTAGTTACTGTTAAGATTTATCTGAATAACCAACTGATTTTATATCAAACAGGTGAGCTTTATGCTCAATCATTTCTTAGGAAAGGGGAGCCACACCCAGTGGAGCCTGTAATCGACAGCAGCAGGTTGGTTACCACTTGCTTTCCAGAATGACAGTCAACAGTATAATCTTCAGAATTGAGTGGTTTTTTGGGATGCCTAACTTATTTGCCTTTGCTTCTGCAGATACTTTGTTCTAAGAGTTGAAGAAAATTTTGGTAATGTTTCTGTTATTCTTTTTTCCTAATGTTTCATTCCTAGACATTTTGTTTCATGTGCTCTGAATTTCTATGAAGTTACTTTCTATGGCTATAATGGCAATTTCAGTAAATAGGTGATGAGAACATGCATTTATGTGGCTATTGTATGTGTTTATATCTTTAGTACATTTCTATGAAAATGGTTATTAGACAACAGAAACATGAATAGGGAACACAACAATTTTGGTAACAATCAATAGGTAATGAAAATCCTTCTTTTTTTAACCAAAAGGTACCAACTATTTAAACTCATAAGTTCATTGCTATACTGTTGCGATACTGTCCAAGGAATCAGCATCTTCTGGCGTCTCTTAATGCACAACAAATTAATATATACAGAGTTAGTGATCTCCTAGATCTCCAATGCATACCATCCTCTAATGCTCTAGTGTCTCTCATCTTGCGCCCCTAATCACATTATTCATCTCACATTCCAAAACTAGTGGCCCATAGAGCCTTGGTTGAGTAATGAATGTTTCTGAAGAGTCAAGAAGGCCCTGGGATCCTGTAAATTCCTCGGATGGTCTGGTAATCGGCACCCATGAAATCATGGAAGAAATAATCCTCTGCTTAATCATGATCCTACTTGAATGCACTACCTTATGCTATTACATCCATCCATACTAGAGTACCTATAGATAGCTAGAAGAGAAAATCTCTATGGATACTCCTCTTTTAAGGATGGAGATAGGATGTCACCCACCCAATAGCCGAGCAGCTATGAACATTGGCATTATCCATGAAACTCCAATGGGATAGAAAGAAGCTCTATATCCTATTTGGTACTTCCTCTTTAAGGATATGTTCTCTCATAGTTGTTAGGAGCACGAGCAGGAATGAGATCTGGAGCGGGGGTTGTTGCTTGTCAGAAGATCACTTCTTAGGGAGCTCCAATACAATAAGTTCTAAAAGATGGACTTAAAAATATCATAAATTTTATGCTTTGTTCTCTTTCAAATTTGGTCTAGAATGAAAATGTTCACCCTCTCTTGAAACCTAAAATTCATCTTGTGATGCATTTTCTAGATCCCGAGATGGAGCTCTCCAAAGGGGAGATGGGGCTCTTAACAACTTCAGTAGAAAGACCAAGAAAATAGGGAACCGCATTCCCAAAGTATGTAAACATGTTTAATGAGTTCAGCGGAAAGAGTTTTCAAGAGAATAAGGAACACTTTCCCAAAGGAATGGGAACGCATTGGAAATGAGTTCCAGCTCCCTAACCGCATTTTGCAAACCAGAACGCCACCTTAGATTGATGATCCTGGTAATTATACGTTGTCTATTGCTTTTCTAGCCCCTCAACACAAAATTCAAAATTTCGTAACTGGAAGGTCCAATGTTGTAGACAGCTCCCCGAAAATTATTTATTTTGCTGCCATTCGAAAGTAAGCATGCATGGGATAGCCAAGACACTCCATACCTGATTTCCAGGAGATAAACTGAGAGAACCCTGCAATATTGTCAAAATTGGATGGATAGAGTCATTTTTTTATATCTTAATACCAAATCTACTATTAATATGTTTGCTGAGGGAAATCTCTTCTATTCTAGACAATATCTCACTGGTCTCACTGAACCTTCATTTCCCAGAAAAAACATGAAGAACACACTACTCACGTCCATTCAAATGCATTCTTGACCTGAGCAGATGGTTGCAATACTAGAGCAGCCAAGCATGAGAAGCGGGCATGAAGTGTGTCTGTCCCATTGCTCTACATTGTTTGACATGCTAACTCTGTTAATGTTCCCCAAATTTTAAATCTAATCCCATTGTCTATACTTGCAAACTGTAAATCTAACAGAACTCTTTGCTCCTATAATGTGCCACCTCTCACATCAAACTACCATGACCTGCCAAAACTCACCTGACTCTAAAACCAATCTCTGTAACCCTCTGTCCTGAAGGGTACCATTTTATCTTTAACAATTGCACGGCCCCTTTCTTCTTCATCTTACAATTTCCCTCCCATTTGACTAAGTTAAACTTGTGGTATTCGATGGCACCCTCTCTGGAAATTACCTATGGAATTTCTGTTGTTTCTCTTCAGAACCTGAAATGCTGAGGCATAATGGAATGTTGGATAATAGCATGACCTTGATGAGGGTGATTCCTGCACAAAAGAAAGAACTGTTTTTTCCATGGTCACAGTCTCTTGTAATTTGTTTAGGCTTTGAAATCTGACATTAAAGCTAAGTAGCTGAGAGTACTTCGACTTGGTGATCTGTTGCTTTAGTTTTGCTCTTATCCTTCTAATTAATTAAGCTGTCTGTGTCTACTTCTTGCTTTCATTGTGGACTGTATAATTAATTTATACTTGTAAAATACACAGGTGGTCGTGTGCGGCATGCATTCCTTGGAATAGGTTTCCGCGAAAGGCCTCAAGCTTATGACTTTCAAGCTGCTCTTCATGATCATATGAAGTATCCTTGTGTTATTGATTAGTAGGCTCTTCCAGTTTCCTGAGTAAAAAACTCACAAGGGAAAGTAGAGTATGGTCCATATTTAACGGTGGCCCCATAGTCATAAGGGTCATGAGGTCATCATTCCAATTAATGGGTTGGATATAAATAGAGGGGCAATAGGAGATGCATGTGAATTTCAATGGGATCCTCTTCCCTTCCATCATCATCCAATCTATTGATGGCATGGGATGGCCATATGGATCATATTATGCTTTCTCAATATATCATTCATTCTCCCCTGGGGACTCTATGTGTGTCTCTGCATGTGTGTGTATACATGTGTATGTTTAGCGTCCATGTTTTTATTGTCCTTGGGATTGCAGTAAAGCTTATTTTTTCTGAAAATGATTCTATTGATAAAGAAATTTTCTCGGTGACTTGTTTGGAACTATTTATTCCTTAAAAGGCTAAAAGATATTTGAACAAAAAGAAGACTGCTGAAGAGATGGAACAACATTATCAGTCAGCGTCCTCTGTGGATTACAGTCTGAAGGAAGGGGAGACCCTTGTGTTGCAGCTTAAAACTGTAAGTTTTCTCATTGCCGATTTAACCACTTAATGAAATTACTCCATGAAAGTTTTCTCAGTAGTGTTGGCTGAGTATGGTTTTTTAAGATAAGCATGCCCTACACAGAAAGAAGGTCGAAGTGTGAGGTCTGCATTTTTTGAGAGAGGGCTCAACAACCTCTCTTTGGAAGACAAACCAACAGGAGAAGCACCGATCAGTCTTAAGCCACCTCCACCTCCTCCAGCACCTCTTACACCATCGAATGCTCAGAGAACGATGGTGCATGAGCAACTTCAGGTGCACACTAGTAATGGTGTTACCATGCAATACAAAGAGAAAGACGAGTCCAAAGAATGCCTTGATTTGGAACATGAACGTGTGAATGATATTCTAGAGGACGACTTTGGAGATTTTCAGACAGCTGATTGATTTTCATTTGGTAAAGATTGTTTTGTTACATGGTTTGACTGACTGAACCATCTGCGGTTGGTTGTTTGGAGTACTGCATCATGTGTGTAAATAGATATTTTGCAGTTTGATTCTTAAGCATCCATTTCTCTCTCTCTCTCTCTCTCTCTGTCTCTTAACATAAGTAGATCGTGTGTTTTCCCTGTACTAATGCATAAGATCTAAATTACAACCTAAGATGGCCTATTTTTTTGGTGAGTTCATCAAACATCAATGGATAGAGAAGGCCATGTTCATTCATTATGTTGGTTCATTATTGTGACTTCAAAGAAGTGAGGGTTCTATGGCAATTTTGTGAGAGAAAAGAGGTGGGAATATGCAAATACTATGTCCACCATGGGGCAGGTTTACTTGAAAGCGAAAAACTTCATGTTTTTCTATAGGGATGGTATGCTGTAAAACCATTTATCTTTGAAAGTTCCAATTGGCCTAAACTATCTGATGTGAAATTTGACATATTAGGGTGTGTCACAAAGCTTGAGAAATTTTGTTTAGAACTTTGGGCCTAATCAATGGTAAACCTCCAGCCGTTCAATTATACATCAAACAGTTGAGAGTGATTGTGACCTTTTTTACTACGAAAGATAAATAGTATTATTGTATATGTCTCATATATATATATATATATATATATATATATATATA